CAAGAAAATCAGGATTGTCAAAATACGCTAACGCGATTGCGCAGTGTCGTCAACGAGATTAATCTCTGCACGACGCCGGCACAATGCATTGAAATTCTCAATGATATGGATAACGAGAAAGCTTTCGTCATCTCTTCAGGAGCTTTTGGTCAGAATCTCGTATCAGATATTCATGAGATGGCACAAGTAAATGCCATTTACATCTTTTGTGGTAACAAGGCGCTACATGAACAATGGACGAAAGAATGGCCGAAAATTGAAGGTGTTTTCACTTCAATCCAACCCATTTGCGAATCATTGATAAAGGTCGCCCGTGAATGCGATCATGATGCAATACCAATGAGTTTCGTTTCAAAACAGATTGTAACAGCATCAGGATCGGATCAGCAAAATCTCGACCAACTGGACCCGTCCTACATGTATTCGGTACTATTCAAAGAGATCCTATTTGAAATCAATGAGGACGATACTAAGTTAGTGAAAGAATTAGTAAAGTACTGTCGCAACAAAAACATTCCTGAGTTTCAACTGGAACGTTTTCAGCGTGAGTACCACAAGAAAACGTCAGTCTGGTGGTATACTTGTGAAAGTTTTGTGTACAGTATGCTTAACTGTGCCCTGCGATCACTAGATATGGAAATCATGGCAAAAATGGGCTTCTTTATCCGTAACCTTCATCAACAACTAGAACAACTGCACCAAGAACAGTCGAATACATATAAAAAACAATTTATCGTTTATCGTGGTCAAGGACTCTCTCAACAAGACTTTGAGCATCTACTTGATATAAAAGGTGGTCTGCTCTCATTCAACAACTTCTTATCTACCAGTACAAAGCAACAGGTCGCCATGGAATTCGTTCAACGTACCATGCACAAGAATAAAGACATCGTGGGTGTCCTTTTCATCATGACAATTGATTCAAGTAAAATTTCAACTTCGGCTACTCCATTTGCCCTCATCGACGAATACAGTGCTATCGAAAGCGAAAAAGAAATTTTATTCTCAATGCACACAATTTTCCGTGTCGATGATATCAAGCAGACAGTCAGCAACAGTCGTCTATGGGAAGTTCAATTAAGACTCACAGACGACAATGATCTGCAATTGGCTTCTCTCACCAATCGCATGCGAGAGGAAACTCAGGGATCAACTGGATGGGATAGAATGGGCAAACTGATGCTGATAATAGGTGACTTCAATCAAGCTGAAGAATTTTACAATGAGTTACTCAAGAACGCCTCCAAAGATAGTGATAAAGCATTTACTTATCACCAGCTTGGGATTTTGAAAAACGATCAAGGACAATACAAAGAAGCAGCTGGATTTTATAAGAAATCACTTGAAATCAAGCGAAAGACTCTTTCGGAAGATCATTCTTCATTGGCTTACACCTACAACAACATCGGTCTTGTGTATAGCAACATGCGTAACTACCCGAAAGCACTTAAATTTTACGAAAAGGCACATAAAATCTACGAAAAATCTCTGCCTCCAAATCATCCTGATTTGGCTACTTTCTACACCAACATCGGTGAAGTGTGTAGAAACATGGGTAACTACTCGGAAGCACTTGAATTTCACGACAAAGCACTTAAAATAAGAGAAAAAACTCTGCCTTCGAATCATCCTGATTTGGCTCAATCCTACAACAACATCGCTGCAGCGTACTACAGCACGCGTAGCTACTCGAAAGCACTTGAATTTAACGACAAAGCACTCAAAATAAAAGAAAAAGTTCTGCCTCCAAATCATCCTCATTTGGCTATTTCCTACAACAACATCGGCATGGCCTATTCCGGCAAAGGTGACTATACGAAAGCACTTTCATATCTAGAAAAGACACTTGCCATCGAACAAAGCTCCCTTCCACCAACACATCCAACTATTAAAACAACAATAAAAAGCATTAACACTGTGAAAAAGAAAATGTAAACAAATTTTTTTTTTCTTCTCACTTCCTCAATAAATTAAGTTTGATTGCTATTCATCTCACCTCCCGACTTTTCTTGGCTCATTTTCGCGTACAAGTGCGCGATCAGGGAGACCTCCTGTAAGTAGAGCCCGGCGAAACCACTTTCGGATTCTGGAAGGGGTGATGGGAACCGTTGATCTGGTGATATATTACATAATAATTTGTAGTAGGCTTTTTCAGAAATTTCTAGATTTTTTTCATTGTTCATGTTTATTAATTTATTGAAAAGCAGTTCCTTCAAAAGATACAAGGAAAATAAAAACACATGAGGAAATCCATATAATATGAAATGTTCATATGCAACGATGATAGCTATTGCGACATTCTCTTTGAATTCATAGTTAGTGTCTACTATACAGAGGTTATTAATGCAAGAGGCATCGTGAAAGTGTCCACTACAACGAGGTGTTCACTCTAGAAGGGTATCCACTATGAGAGGTTTTACTGTGAGTTATTTGTTTCTTTCTGTACGCTTACAATTAGCATTCTATTGCATAAATGGATGAAAAAATGTTTTTTTTTCAAAAGTGACCCAAAAACGACAAAATATAAATGACTCTAGTTGTCATAAAAAAAGAATTTTCGGTTCCAACGGTTCCGGATCTGAGAAACTGAAAAATTTCGCATCCGGTTCGGTTCTCGGTTCCAATATTTTTGGAACCGCAGGGCTCTACCTGTAAGCCCGAAATGGGTACATGCAGAGCGGACCACGCCGGGCTGGTAAGGTAATGAAGGTAGATATGACGTACGTAAACAGCAACAGATACCTACGAACATAACGATCCTCCCGAGTACTACACTGCTTTCACCATCACAGGCACACGAGATCTCCCTGGGTCAGGTAACAAAGCCACCTGACAGACTGTGATATAAGTTGGTAGCTCACTCTACTTCTACAAAGAAAGAAAATATTCCATTCGGAATAGATTATGTCTACCTTATCGAAAAAATAACTTGAAAAGTCCTATTGGCCACTAGGACTTTTCAATTTATTAATATCTATTTCTATCTCAATAAGAAAAAAAGACTAAACATAGTTAGTAACTGTTTTATCTCTCTATTCTCCTTCTCAAGAAAAAAAAAACAAGCAACATACCCGATTTGAGATTGGAATACATGAATCATTGCGTAAGTTAATAATTACTGTTAATATTCGACTTCGAAACATTGTAAATAATGATACGGTACCCTATGATTGTATAAATTTCATTATAATAAATGTATATTGCACCTCCTAAAAATAAAATCATTAGACTACTTATTCGATGTGTTGATGATGAGGTGTTTGTTTCAACAGAATGATTTCATACAAGAAAATCATTCCTTATATATGTATGTTTGAGACATGAACTGTTAGTCAATGATGATCATTGTTGAATAATTAATCAATGGCGTTTCACTGGTTTTTTGTCTCCATCAAGTAAAAGATTGATGATCGAAATCGAAAAGAAATCAATTGATTCTCATGAACTCAATAATTGATGAAGTGATCATTGTCATCTTTTTTTCGTCGACGATCAATTTCTCACATATGTACTTATTCTCTTAGCATTACCTAGTACTTTAATACGTGGTTGACAAATCAATATCTGAAAATATAACATGATTCAATGGCATTATTGTTGAAAAATATTTTTCATTTAAAATATTCTACATTGAATAAAAATTGATCTACAACATTTAAACAATTATTTCGTATTCGAGCAAACGTAAGAAAAAAAAAGAATCGTTGATGAACTAGATGATTCTAGTTTTTCGTGTCTAAACGGGGACAAATAAGTAAATTAAAATGAAAAAAAAAAGAATAGAAATAATATATTCATAACACTTTTATATAATAATGGAATAAAACGAAATTATTTTATTTTATTTTTTTTACGAAATCATCTAGTAAATTATATTAAAATTAATTTAATTTGTACAACACTAGAGCTTGCGACGCATATCAGTAGTCATCATCAGTAGGATTGTGTTGCTATTGAGCTGATCAAGTGCCTATGTAATCACAAAATTTTAATTATAATACAATCAAATATATTTACAGGGCTCTTTTCTATCAGTTCCATAGTAACAAAATTCTACTGATGGTGACTCCTGGTATGGGTCGAAAGCTCTAGCGTTGTACAAATTATATAGATTTTACTGCAATCTGTTAAATGATTTATTAGAAGATAAAATCAAATTGTTTCATTTCATTCTAGTTTGACAAAAAGAAGCAATCATATAAATTTGTAATAATCAATACAATATATTTAACATTTGACTATATAACACGATCAACATTTATTTGAACATGTTCGACTTGTAAATCCATTTTTCATTTTTATCGAAAAAATTCTTCTGTTATGTTATATTGACTCCCACATGTTGTAAGACTAATAGCAATTTGATTTATGTTACAAACACAAAATAACTTGTACTGTGTCAAGTTGATCAACATCCTTTATTGATTTCACTTAAAAATATCAAATGAAATTCACACGTAAAGTATAAACAAATCTCATAGGTTTAACTTTATAGGCATATTTCCACTCTTACATTCTCTATTTTTTCTACATAAAAAAATGCGGATAAAATATAAAAACAAATTCATAAAATATAATCATGCTCTTTAATTTGGTTCGAATTTGTTGAGAAAGGGATAGTTATTAAATGAAAAAACTGCAATTTTCTATGTTGTTCTTTATCTTAGCCTCATACGAGAACGAATTATACGAATCTTTTACCGAAGCCATGCGAAGACATTTCAAATATTCAAGTTATGTTGATAAATTACTAAAAACACCGAATATCTGTTTAATAAGGAAACAATAGATCGGTTCTATTTTTACATTTTTGTCAAAAATATCAACTGTGAAAAGTCTTTAACAAATTTTCTTGATGCTGTCTTGCGCATGGCGGGAGATTCTAATCGAGAAGAGTTAACGAAGAAACATATTTCGAATTCAGATGAAACTTTAATTCCAATCCTTTATTTCACATAGTGTGTATTGATTGTTCCGCTTCACTCTAGTTTTTATGGTATACGCACACTTGCCCGCAGGACACTTACCCGCCGGACAGATGCCCGCGGGACAGTTGCCCGTAGGACACTTGCCCGCGGAGGACACATGCCCGCAGCGGACACTTGCCCGTGGGACAGTTGCCTGCATGATAATTACCCGCAAAATAAATTCGCACTACTATTCTTCGAAACAAAGGGGACTAATTTCATTGCTTTCAAAATCTTATTCATTTTATCAACTCACTTATATATACATCTTATAAGTAGTAGAATGTAGAAATGGAAACCTACAACAATATGGGTCATTAACAAACGAACTATCAAGTTCAAGAAAAATAAGTTTGACCGATTTGACCAGGATGTTAATGGCTAGTGCTACTATTTTTCCAAATTTGTTTTCGACTATTTATTCAAAATGTTCAAAACTATTATTTGTTGGTGTCGTTTCACCAAATATTTTCGTCGTCTAATCCCGGCTCAGGTTTGGATTAATTCGACTTCGATCATCGATTGGTCTCTTTTCACCGGAATTCCAAATGTTCGGATGTGCACAACCTAACCCTAAAACCAAGCTATGTAAAACGAGCGAGGAAAACGATATCGAATAGAAAGAAAATGGTTTGTCGAAAGAAATGGAAGAAAGGAATACGAACAGACACAAACACAAGCATGAGGTTTAAGCATTGATAGATCCTTGAGAAGTCATACGATTGTTGGAGGATAGTTTGATATCACTAGTTCACATAACTCCATTGATAAGATGCAGTAATTTTTTAATAATGTAATAAGTTTATAGTTCCTAAATCGTCACCAAGCAAGTATCCTGGTGCATTGTGGACAAGTGTCCCCACATAGGCAACTGCCTGGCGGGCCAGTGTCCACTGCGGGCATATGTCCTCCGCGGGCCAGTGTCCTACGGGCAAGTGTCATCTGCGGGCAAGTGTCCTACGGGCAAGTGTCCTGCTGGCATCTGTCCGGCGGGCAAATGTTCTGCGGGCACGTGTCCTAGATTCAGTTTTTATTCCGGTAATTTATGCACGGTAGTGGTCATCGGGAAAATAACGACTTGACAAAAAGATGTTGCTGGAGGTTTTCTTTAAATTTGATATGGTTTGGCCAAGAAACGTCTCATTTGATAGAGAATTGCTTGGTCAATCTTTAGACGTAGTGAGAAAAAAATTTATACTTCTGATTTGTAAGTGCTAGAAAACTAGACGTATGATTTTCTAGATATCCCTCAGCAACTATTTTGTATCTTACGAACTGTTATCTATCTAGTTTTTTTGAAAATTTTGAATGCTATGAACATCAGTAGTAGTGATGATAGTCATTCCATATATATATTACACATCATATCTTCATCATGCATCTTCTATATGAGTATGAAAATATTTTATTTAAAAGAAATAACTTTTTATTAACTAACAGTTCATAATGATGATGCAAATGACCCAGGAAAGAAGTACCACATTAAGATTCAGATGTTCTTGTTATATCTTAAGAGCAAATTTAGCAGAATATTCACTTCAAGCTAAGTAAACAAATAAAATGAAACATCATAGCATGAAAATTTAAAAAATACTTGAGAAGATAGATAAGAGCTAGTATGCAAATTAGAAATAGTTATATGAATCGATGTCGATGTTATTTCGATTGAGATGAAGTGAAAAACAGGGACAAGTGATGATAATTTCAAATTTTATGTTTTGAATGATGTGTGTATGAGTTTTCTTTTCGTATTCTCACCCACACCCTTTCACTACTGTGTCTGAAAATGATTCAGATATCGTGCATTCATGAAACTTTTTATTCGAAAAGAGCTGAATTGTACCGAAGCCATTAATCAGTCTCAGATGTGCGAGATGACGAAGAAGACTCGTCATGGTTATTCACCAGTTCCTCACCGATCTTGCTATTATTCAATCTTTTTTGAGTAAAGAGCTTCATGAGTGCTGA